CTTGCTAACTGAAGATATTCATTAGTATTAATACAGAAGTTCAGTAGGTCACAGAAGTCTCATGCTCTCCTGGAAGGCTTAAAATAGAAGAGAGAGGTAAAGGATTAAAATGCTCTTAATGCCAGTACTCCCTGCTCAGCAGAGATCTGGAGAAAACCCGTCCCCTTTCTCTGCTGGAAAATTAGCCACTTCAGCCGTATTATTTTTCTGTCAAATGTCCTAATTGCTTCAGCATCAGTCTTGTCTGACAAGTGACTTGAGGTCGAGGCCTTAATGTAATTTTTTTCTCATCTGATATTTTTTTCTCTCCAATATAATACACAATTAGATAGACTTTTATACAGATAATGATTAAAATAATCTGAGTGAAAAAATGCTGTGCAGTCCAACAGAAACTGAACAAAACTGCTATTGTTAGACCTGAGCAGAAGCTAAGGCACAGGTTTGTCACTGGGTGATTAGTATTGCAGCCTAAATTTACCCTTGAAAGTCTTGTATGAGGAAGCACAAAGAAAAAGATAAAATCAAAAAGTAATTTTGACAACACTGCTGAGGCTAGAGCCAATGTCTCCTAATGACTGAACTTGTAGGTATTGTGAGGTTTTCACTTACTGTAGGTGGGCAAAGTTTATTTCAGCTCTGTAGCAGAAGTACTCTGGTTAGGTGAATTGAAACATGCAGATAACTGTTTAACTGTGTAAGTTGTAATGTATCAGAAAGGTCTCTTTCATTTCTTCCCCATCAAAATTCATGTACCATAAGTCAAACTTTAAAATCACAAAGAGTATTAAGGAAAAGTCATTATAATGTTTATTAGACCTGTTCAGACAATTTTTCAGCATCCTCACAGAAATCTATTCTACATTTCTTGGTATAAGACTGTGAATGGAGTCCCCAGATTTGTTTCAAATTAAATCTGTGCATGATTTGGAAAAACATACTTTCACTTTTTCACATCTTTCCCCAAAATCTAGAAGTTGGGAATCTATTTCAGAGATCCATGAGAGAAGGAAAACACTGTTCAATTTTTACATTTAAACTTGGCCATTCCTATTATTTTATGTTGGACCTTTTCTGTCCTGCCCATATCACTCCTTTTCTCTCACTAGAAAGATTTCTTTGGTGGCATTAACAAGCTGTGCCTGCTAGAATGAATCTGCAGAAATTTCTCAATAGCTTTATGCAGAGTCTTTAGCCTTATTGTCAGAGACAGTGAGAAGAAAAAGAGATTTCTATCCCTGTCTTCAATCATAGAGCATGGCATTCTGTTACAGGTAAGCAATACTAAATATGGATAAAAGATGAAAATCCTTGCAATCCTTACTCAGACAAAAATTACAGCAAGAAAAAAAAAATTCTATTGATGCAAAACTTTCATTATGCTTAATTCTAAAATTTTCCTAAATTTGAAGAGCTCCAGTTTTATGAAAGGTATTGCCTGTAAAGATGATCTCCACCTAATGCACCAGGCAGTGAATGCTTGAAACTGTTATAGAATATGAGATACAAAAAGCAAGTACTGAGTTCAGTCAAGTAAAACAAGATTACAGTGAAAAATAATTATTGAGTGGGGAATCTACAAGCACAAAGTAAATAAAAATAGATCGGGGGAGAAGGAATTGAGTGGGAACTGAAACTCTGAATAGCTCTTTAATTCAAGACTATGGTCCAGTAAAAGGCAGTGAGACTTGTATTTAGTGTAATCTAGATCCATATACTGCCTGACTCTCCATAAAAAATGTTTTTCACTTCAAACAATCAAGACAATTTGCCTCTTAGGAAAAAAAAAAATTAAAAAAAAATAAAAAAAGAAAAACAGATAGGTTTTGCAGTTCTAAAGATGATAAAGCTGGACTCTAATCACTTTTTCCTGTCAATACTACATTCATTCCCAGAGTAGTCTGATTAGAAATGCAAGAGCATACAAAAGAAAGAACTGACTTTTGGTTCTGGCCAACATCCAGAATTTTGGGGGCAATAACTGTCAAAATCAACCTCATATCTTTCTTAAAAATGAGCCAGAAGTGTACTACAGTCCACAAAGTGTTGTTTATAGCTCAAAAACCCCAGGAAGATTTAGATTATTTTAGATTTACTGTCATCTACAACAGATAAGTCAGAAAATATGGTCCTGTGTCAAGTGCATTCCAGCAGTTTTATAGCTGGCTATTTGCTTTAATAATATGTCTGTCTCAGACAAAGGCTTTGAGGTTTCCTCTGTATTTGTGACATCAGGTGCTAAAATCTGGGCTCCTCACTATGGAGGGTGTGGTGAGGTATTTGCCCTGTGATGTGAAACAGTGTACAAAGGATGGCAGAGTTTCATTAATCACTGTGTGGCATTTCCATACTGCTAGAGTGTCTAAGAAAGATGAAGCTTCCCCTTGACCTAGCAAGAATGAAGATGTATATGTTTCATATGCACCATCTTTCTCTGTTTTATGTATGCACTAACTAAGCCAACCTGAAGCTGTAAGAAGCACAAAAATAATCTAAACCACAGGATACCCTGTAGGGAATTACTCACCTTCCATTTCCTCAGCAGCAAGCTGAGAGCCAGAAGAAAGATGTGATGACTGCTAGCATGACAACTCTTTCAGTGAATAGCTCCTAGGGCTGGGCAACTCAGTGCCACCTCTTATACTTTTTGAGATGTGAAATATTAGTTTATCCCTCAGGATATATGAGCTCAGAAAAAAGCTGAGGACAGGTAAAAACACAACAGTGTTGTGTTTATCTAGTGTTTATCTAATATATGTGTGACTGAAGTGAATTTATGCACCAAAGTGAATAAGGAGATTAATTTATTAAGCTTTTCAAACACACTAGAGATCCTGCAAAACAAAGGAAGCCTCTTTTTGTTTGTCAGGTTTGATTTCATTTCAGCTAAACATCTCTTCCTGTTTCCAGTACTCAGGCCAGCAAATCCAACCCTTTTACTTTCTTCTGGAAGGATGTTACAGAAGTCTAAATATCAGCTGTATTTACAGTTCTGCAGTGTTTGAGGGTCTAATTCACAGCCTAGGAAATCACAATGTGTTGCTTCCCATGAACACTAACAGTCATTGTCCCAAGTGTGGAATATTTTGAATCTGTAATACACAAACTCCAGCAATGTTGATTGATTCTCTTTTCCTGATGAGATTTGTCCAGATTCAAAAGAATGACTGCATACTGAGTCTGTAGGGCATGGACTAACATCAAATACTAAAATATTAATATAAAAAATATGAGATTATGTATCCAAGATTTTTTTTTAATGCTACTTTACTATCCAGAAGTGAAGTGCCAACATAATTCACAGCCATAACAAATCTTAAAGAATACCTGCCTACTGTTGATCTTAACACTCTTCAGCCCAAATCTGGGACCAGAATCTGACATCACTGACACAAAAAGCAGTGATTAGTTCTTCAACCTATGCATGATAGTAGGATTTTGCTTTGATTCTGGAAAGTATCCCTGCCCTGCCTTTGAAAAGCCAAGTGTTCATAACCTTAGTCTTCTATTTTGACATTTTCCTAGACTTGAATCTTACAAATGCTCGACCCAAACCAAAAAGAAACACTGGTGTTCTTCCCCTACTCTTTGGTGAGTTTGAAATCAGTCTCATAATCCCAAAATTAGATGCAGTGATTACAAAAAAGCACATTTCAGTGTATTCTTTTGTGACAACTTGGTAATAGTATCTGATAGCAGCACTATAGGCAGAGCTAGAGGCTTTTCTTCTAAAGCAACACATCCAAGTTCCTGATGAGGCACAAAGTACAATTTTGAGTGGGGTGACATTCAACTCCTGTCATAAGAGTAATCCTCCACAGCCACTGACTGATTTGTACTACCAGACAGGCAGAAGTGCTCACAAAACTGTGTTTTCTTGAAAATTTTCTCATTCATTACACTTTCTCCCACTGCTTCGGAGCTAGGAAAAAACAAGTAACAGCAGAATATTTGTTCAGTCAAATACAACTTTATTTCTGAAAGGAAGCAGGATTCATCTATAGAAACATATATATATATATATATATATATATATTTACATATTTTCAAATGTATTTATATTTACATGTACTTCTACATTTTTATAGGTAGATTTTGTATATTTTTATACATACATACACAAACATACATACACACAAAAGCACCTATGTATGTATGTATGCATGTGTGTGTGTGTGTCTGTGTGTAAATCTCTATGTATATGTACCTATGTATCTATCTATCTATATATATATATATATATATATATATATATATATATACATGAATAGCTGCCAGGGCAGGCGGGCAGCACGGGGCTGCCAGCCATCGGCCGATGCCGGACGTACCCGGCGGACGGCGAGCCCCGGGCGCCCGGCAGGGTGAACGCCGGGCGCTTTGTAGGGGCGGCGGGCCCCTCCGCCGCTCCCGAGTCGCGGAGCCCCGGTGGGGACGTGTCTGGCTTCCCAAGCGACTGGCGCGCAGGCGCCTCTCAATCCCCAGCTCTGGTGAGATGCTCTCGGACCTGGGAAGGGAATCGTCCTCCCATTCCCTGCCTGCTGCTTTCTTTCCGGCCCCTCTGCAGCACTTTTCCTCAACATCCCTGGCTCGGATTATTTTTTTTCCCCTCCTAGTCGCTTTTTTATTTTTTAATATTACCCACCTCACGGGAGCCCGTTTGCTTTCCTGTGTGGCTCCCGCTCCCCAAAATAGTTATCTGAAGGGAAAGCCGCCTGTTGACTATCCCCGTCTCCCCTTTTCTGAGCTTCCACCCACCCTTTGCCCCCACCCCTCTCTCTGTTTGATTCCAAACCTTTGGATGGTGTTTTGGTGTCATTAGGAGATTAGTATCCCTGGAGCACCAGGGGAGGAGGAGGAGTAGGAGGAGGAGGAGGGTGGAGGGGAAAGCGAGACTGCAGGCAGGAAGGTTGGCACATCAACGCGAGTGAGACTCTCCTCCCGCCGTCCCAGCAACCCCCGGCTCCTGGGTGGCAGCGGAGGGGGTGGCTGCCGGCGCGGGTTGCGGACGGCGGCTGGCGGGTGCGCCCGGGACCCGCGCCCGCGGAGCGGAGGGGGCTACCGGCAGGCGAGCGGCTGCGGCTCTTGCGCGCAGCCCCCCTCTCTTTTATGAACAGCGAGGCGGCAAAGCGGCAGCGGGGGACACCTGGAGGAGCATCTCTTCCTCGGGTTTATGAATGGCACTGACATGGAGGAAATACCGTTTCAGAAAGTCAAGACCAAGAGGAAGAAGTGCTGCCACTGCTGCTGCTCCCCGCCGGCTGCCGCGGCGTCGGGAGCGGGAGCCGGGTTAGGGGACCCCCCTCCCTTGCTGCTGCTGGATGCCATCGCCTGCGAGGACGAGTTTGACTGCAAGGAGCTGGAGGCTCTCTTCCAGAGCTACAACCTGAAGCTGGAGCAGACGTCCACCCTCAAGGCGCTGGCCGTCCTCATCGTGCTCACCGCCAGCCTAGCCCTGGTGGAGCTGCTCTCCGGTCCCAGCCTGACCATCTCCAAAGGTTCGCACCCGGTGCACTGCATCATCTTCCTCTCCCTTTTCATCGTCACCAATGTCAAGTACCTGCAGGTCACGCAGCTGCAGCAGATCGTCAAGCTCACCTTGCTCTTCAGCTTCACCTTCTCTTTCCTCTGCTGCCCCTTCTCTCTCAGCGCCTACGGCATGGAGGCGCCCAGCGCCCCCGAGCAGGGCATGTGGCAGCTCATGCTGGTAACCTTCGTCTCCTACTCGCTGCTTCCCGTCCGGACGCTGCTGGCCATCGTCTTCGGGCTGGTGGTGTCCGTCTCCCACCTCATCGTCACCGCCACCTCCGTCAGTGCCAAGCGGCAGAGGCTCTGGAGGACGGTGAGAGAGGCCGGGCCTGCAGCACCGCAGAGCCGCGCGGTGCCGGCCCGCCGGGGGGAGGGAGAGCGGAGAGGCGCGAAGCGGCCCCCGCGCAGCCAGCGCAGGCGGCGGCCGAGGAGCGCCCCGGCTGACTCCGGCGGGGAAGGGGAGAGCGCGCACCTGTGCCTCAGGCGTCTGTGTCTGTAGTTCCCCAAAGTTTCCGGGAGGTGGGGGGGGGGGGAGGTGGATAGGGCGGCTCTGGGGAGACGGAACCTCTCGGCATTTTCTCTCCAAGGAAAACCGGGGACAGGGCAGGGAAGCCAGCGCTGCCGTGCCCCGCTCATGGGGCAAGTTCAGAGCACCGCATGCACAGTCAGTGCAATACAGCGCGTACCAGCAACATCACCTGTCTCTGTACAAACTTGGCACAGACAATAAGCTGCGTGTGGTAATAACACCTCCACCGAGTTGGTTCGTATCCTCGCTGTCTGTATCAGCCGTGGGCCGATCGTGCCTATACACAGCCCATCTGCGGGGAGGCTCTGAGGAAACGTTTTGGAATAGGTGGGACACTCAGAATGGGAACCCCGCCTCGCTGCTCTCCCAGAAAGCGGAGCATTCCCCCTTCGGCTTCCCCAGGGCAGCTGCTGCCCTCTTTCCTCAGACATTACCTGCTGTGGCAGTGAACTTCCTAGCGATTCCCTTTCCCCCCTGAATTAATCCAGCAAAACCTCCCTCTGCAGCAAGCATCTTTGGAAACGTGCTGCTGCACTCTCCCCTCCTCCTCCGAGGAGCTATTTATATCCCTGCAGGGCTTTCTCCTGCTCTCGTGGCCTGATGGGCCGCACTGGCAGGGGGAGGAGGATGAGGAGATGCGCGTATAGGAAACGTGTGGGCTGGCAGTCGGGGTTTGCCACTGAAGACTATTATCTGATGCGTGTGAACCACTGGGAGAGAGGAATTGAAAAATTTTTGTGTCCTTCTCTGCACGCATTGGTTATGCCTGCCCTCAGGAGAAGCACATGGCTTCTGTCCTCCAGATTGGTGTTAAACAACAATTTAAGGCATAATTGAAGCACTTAGTACATTACTTCTGCAGAATGCTGGTATTATTCTCCATAAGCATTGTGATGCTATGACATACATAGTTGACATGGGCATAAATAGAGCAGGATTGTACACCTTTGTGCCCAGAACTGTAAATTCCTGGATCCTTCTTCAGTGCTCACACAGACACACACGCCCCAGTGTGACATGCATGCACAGAATAGAGATACACAGGGACAATCACTGTGTGGGGTTACTGAGACAAACAGGATTATTGATGGCTTCACGCTGCTGAGCTGGTAGACAAAATAAATTGTATATTTTGAAGGGGAAGAGAGAGATAAGCTGAGCTTTATGATTTACCCAGATAATCTGATGGTCTATTTTTAAATATGCGATTTAGAGTTTCCATGAGAGGGAGAGCTGATAAAATGCAGGAGTGCGGAGAGGAGCCTTCTTAAAAAGCATCTGGAAGGATGTTAAAAACACTAGAATATTCTTTTTGAATAGGGCTGAAGATAGCTCTTTTTACTGGAGTACCAATTAGTCCTTATGGGAGTCCAGGCTATCCTGGCTACCCTGACATGTAGGCAGACTTTCCTTGATGCCAAGCTGCAGCTCAGTGTGGCATCTGCTCTTCTAGATGAGTAACATAAAGAAGATGACAATAACGTCTGCTCACTAAATTATCTAACCGAGGTTGTGAATGTAAAACATTTGAAGAGCAAAAATCTTCTGGCTCTATCCCTTCACACTAGTTTAACTCAGTTATTCATCAGGCAAGAAACTGGCTTGAAAATACATAGAAATAGTTGACTAATATCTGATGTAACATACCTATGTTTCTTCTTCATCACCATCTCCCCCAACCAGAGTAATTTCAGTGGTTTGTATGCAGTCCCCAAAGCAGTATGCTTTACTGATAACAGGAATCAGAAACCAGATCAGAGTCAGGCAATAGAACTGGTCTGTGAACTTGTGACACACAAAAATGTGCACTCATTTGTGGCATATTTGCAAGGAATAAGTCTTCTGATTTGAAGGCCATCTCCATGTATGGAAGGGACTTTTCCCTTACAAAGAAGTTTTTTGCTTTTCCAAAGAGCAATTTTGCAATGGTTGGAAGTTTAAAGATAAAGGCTGCATCATCTGAATTTTATTTGCTTGGCCTGAGAGTAGCTAAGCCTTATTTGTAAGGTGTAGAGTGGACTTTCCTCGTCACTGGTATCTGCTATCCCAGACACCAGATATTATCATGATGGCCCCCGTGCTTGTAGACACAGCATGAAGTTGACATGTCAAAGAAGCAGGACTGCTCTATGCAGAGCTGCAATAGCATGAAAGGCTCTGTTCTCTCTCCCAACCCCTTGCTCCCTAGCCCCAAGCAAGTAGATGAATTTAAATTTTTAAACAGATATCTGAAGTATATAAAAATGCAGAAACGCTGGCACCAATCACTGAGATTGGTATTCTGTTAAAGACCACTTTGATTTTTTGTGATTCAGGCAGGGACCCAACTTGGGAATAAATTTTATTTTTGTTTAGCTTGAGCTTTAGGAGACTGCATAACTAGTAACTTCCATTGATGTTAAACTGGAAATTGGTCAGCATGACCAAGTAGTTCATATTGTTTCAAGTTCAACCCATTAAAAAACAGGCATAGCTAAGTTAAGGGATTTTTTCCAAAGTGAGCTTTTAGATGTACATCTTCTATTTCACGAAGTCTGAGAAATCTCCATTTGCAAATGTTTGAATGCCAAAAGCCTCACTAACATCAATAGTGACAGATCAGAACCTGAGTGTGCCCCATGTCATGCTTAAGACTTGCATTCTTTTGAATGTACAAATTCTCTACGAAAACCAATAGTCATTTTGGCAGAAGTTTGTAATGACTTCTGTTGAATACAGCACGTTTAATTTGCAAGTTTAATTCGCAATCTCACTTGCCTTTTCTGGCAGTACAGTATTGTCTGTGGAGATCATGCCATGCCATGCCATGCCATGTCAGAGGTGGGGTATGTATAAGGGCAAAAGGAGAGCAGGAAAGCAAGTACAGGGAGGTAATGAGAGTCAGGGAGTAATGTGACAGAACTTGAGCTTCATCTTTCCACTCAATAAGTGTTTTGTTCATTAAATGAAAGGTTCCAATCTACTAATATGTCCTGCTCATTTCTAAATAGAAATATAGCTATAGACCATTTATATAAAAAAGTGCAATCTAAAAAATATGCAAAGTACTTGGGGGCAACCTTGATCCCATTTGGGATCATGTCAGAGACATGCTGACTTTACAGCTGATATTGCATGTCTTATCTGACATTGTGATGGGGACATAAGTGTGTGTATAACCAATAGCATATTGATCTTTAGTTGGACTCTTCCCTTTGGAATCATGGAACAAATGCTCCTGCTATATAAGGTGACAATGTATCCACAGATGGCTGAACCTACAAATGAAGTTTTAAAATCTTGGACTTTTTTCTCCTTTTTTCTTTCTTCTTTTTTTTCCCCTCTACAGATTCCAGATATATGTTAGGTGATACAGAGCCCTTACAAAAATACAGAATCCTGCCCAAAGGATCTTAATATAATTTTTATTGTAATGCAGTGAGTGGGTGTTAGAGACATTAGGACCAGATGGGGTAAGGAAGGCAAAGGCTGCTCATAGAGATTACTCAGTGGTGACATATGCACCATTTCATGTCTTACCATTAAATAACTTTTTTTGGCCCTCTAAATATTTTAGTTCCCTTTAAAAAAAAAAAAAATATATATATATATATATATTCTTATTTCCAGAAAACTAAAAACCAAATCATACAACCATCAAAGTACCCTAACACATCACAGAAGTCTTTATGAAAGAGCAAATCTTTCATAAGAAAAATCAGAATTACAGCATGAGTAACAAACAGTGGAAGAAACAATAGTGCTCTCATAAACTGGCACAAAATTTTTTTCAGAAGTGTGGTGAAACAAATGGAGGTTTCAGTTAGATTGTTTGGGTTTGTGGTTTTTTGTTGGTTTTTTTTTTTTTTTTTTTTTTTTGCCTGCATTTAAAACTGATTTTATGCATATATTTATTTATATGTATGATAGCACTTTTATTGATTCAGCAAGTACCAAAAATCTTTGTTGGGATTAGATAGACTGTGTAAAGGATAATGGGGGAAAATTGGTATAATTTATTTTAAATAGTTGATTTATTACTTAAAAGTTTATTTTATAATTTTAGCTTTTTGCAGGTTGGGGAGAATAAGGGGATACAAAATCAAAACTATTACAAAGTATTACAAAGTATAAAAGCACACTGCAACAGGTTAGTATTATAGAATATCACAAGGAATTGTTATGCCAAAGTTAATTTTATTTGTGCTAGTGTTTAAAAGGAAATTAATGAACACATCACTGACAGAACTGTTAATCTCCACACCTTTGTCTCTCACATAGAAAGCAGAGTCTAGTAGCCTAATAAAAGGGCTAAATCAAAGACAGCTCAGCTCCATTGTCATTATTCAGTGCAAAATTCTGTTTTTATCCTTCATGCATATAAAATACTGGTGAGGGACTCTACTAGTTCATTCTTTGTAATGCTTTTCCAGTACTAGTGTCAAGATTATCTCTAGAATTCTATCCTCTGTAATATTCTCTAATATTCAGACATATCTATCCACTACTAATCTGTTTGATTTCACTATTTTCCTCTCTTTCCAAAGATGGGGAACACTGTTTTTAGAGTTTCTCAATATCTGTGTGTAACTCTAATTTTCATTTCATACTTAGTCCATATTGAAAGATTGTTAAAAGTTTGGGGGGTTTCAGAGTTTTTGTTCCTTTCTAATCTAAGTGGTATCTCAGTTTGTGGCATAGGCTTTGCCAGGTCTTGACCACAGTCATTTTATCTACATGCTGAAGTGTAGGATTTTCTGTGGAATGTAGAGTTCAGGATCTTTTTCCACATAGAGATTAGTATG